AATTCAATCACTCAACCACCAACAGTCACTATGCCTCGGATCAAGGTAATACCTATGAGGACTTAGTCCCACTCTGACAGGCGATCACCTCTGGTCGTGTTCCAAGATTCATAGATATTGTGCGAAATCTAGATGCTACTGCATTTCATGAGGACAACTGGGTGACGCGCCTAAATTCGCAGGGATGGAGGCTAGAGTTTTACGGAGATGATACTTGGTTGAAGTTGTTTCCATATCTTTTCCGGAGCTTTGACGGAACAAGTTCCTTCTTCGTGAACGACTTTGAGGAGGTGAGTATTTTATTTTTGACGACTGAATTTCTCCCAGGTCGACCGGAACGTTACCCGCCATTTAGATACACTATTCAAACGGCCTCAGGACTGGGATGGCGTGATACTACACTACCTTGGTTTGGACCACATAGGTCATGTGGAGGGTCCAGATGGATACAACGTTGCCATGAAATTGGCAGAAATGGACACTGTGGTTGGATCTATCCTCGATTCTCTGGTAATTTGTTTTGATGACTCACCAATCTTTCTGAGAGTAAAAAAGCATGTGGTCTACGTTCTTTCAAGGAGCATAAAATATCGGATACGCAAAGTAGGATTATAAGGCCGACCTGTGGTTTGGTGTGATTGTGTGGAGTTTCTCGTTGAACCTTTTGTTTGGTCTCCGTTGTACGGGGACCGACCACTGCCTAAATGTCTCATCAATCTCAACAGAGCGTAGCTTTCACCTCCTCCTGAAGTGCAGCATCAGGTCAGTATAGGTTGAGTATCATACAATTGTTTTCGGCTTTAGAACAGGAATGTGGATTCTTCCGGTTTGAAATAAAGGAAGTGCTAAATTTACCAGAGCAAGAACTGACACAGGCACTTTGCACATTCGTCTCCTTCAGGTTTGACCTGTCTTTGGAGTTGGTTCATCGTAAGCTGCAGCTAGTGAGAAGCAGCCAGACTGTCAGTGACTCGGCTTTAGCCATAGTGTATTTTGGGCGCGTAGTTACCCTGAGCCCCTTAAAAAGTATGGATCATCGTGGCTCAGGAGGAGATACTCGTATAGCCAGAAGTAGGAACTGAACCGTGGATTTTTCGACGAGAGGGCTTTAACCGATACTATGGGGGAATGATAACAGCGAATCCCCTTTATAATGTATAGCCTTCTCCTGTCAGCAGATTTGCAAATACGAGTTCTCCATTATTAAAACTTTCGTTTCACTGATGTTCCCCATTCTTCGGCGTGCCGTATCGTTACGATGGGTGATCCCGATCAGGCCGTTGTTTTCTATGTCATACCAGTGAACGGAGGAAAGCCCTTTGCTGCGAAGTTATTTATTAGCAAACAGGAACCAAGCGGTTACAAGTTATTAGACATGGAATACCAACGAACGAAGAAAGCCCTTTGCTGCGAAGTTATTTATTAGCAAACAGGAACCAAGCGGTTACAAGTTATTAGACATGGAATTAAGCATCTCATCTGCGCAGATCGTTTGAAAAGTGAACATGTCCAAACGTTCTCTTGAACTTTCCTGGACGTTCTTTGAATATTGACCAGTTATAAATGAACACTACAAAGAAGTTCCATAAATTCCGTAGTAATCCTCACCTGCTGTCAGATACTTGGGTGGAGCCTGGACACCGGACAATGGGCTACTTGCATACTTCACCAGCAATGTACACTGTAACACCAGTAGTTTTAACTAAACGGAATCAACCGTTGCTCGGTACTGTCATGTCGAGGAAAAGGGAATGTACCAGATTAATGCATTGGAGGTGATACTTATGTGGTTGTTGATTAGGTGTCTATTAATCTGTTCAGTAGGTTCTGTAAGGAGTTTTCAAACGCCTCTCCATGTTATATCTGCTGATTCGCCGGCCTGTGGTATCTGCTGCTGACCCGCTCCAGTGCCTAGTGTCGGAGAGAAAAGATTCACGGAAGGTAACACAACAGCTATATTCCAACAAAGTGGGTGCGAGTGCGAAAAGTACAACGGCCTCGAGCTTTTTATTGAAAGGACACTGTCTGAACGTGATCCAATGCTGACTCACGCGGTCTGGCTTTAGTACGAGGCAGCGACGTGCTGCATATTGCGGAGACGTTGTCTGTCCTTGATCAACGCTGACGCGCTGTCTGGGTTTGATGCAAGGCTGTGACGCGCTGCATATTGAGGAGGCGTTGTCTGTCTGGTCAACATCCAGCAGAGCCGAGAGTCTCCGTAGATTCCGGGCATTCAGTGGTTGCTTTCAGGAAGCTGACCTTCCTGATACTTCAGCAGTCGAGAAGACAGTGCATTTGGTTGTAGTTCACTCACTGGGATACGAAGACTGCCCCGGACGCTTCGTCAATCAATTCAATCAAGTATTAAGCTATAAACCATGTACCATGGATACATTGGCTACTGCAGTTTCAATCACTGAAAAACGGGAGGCGCGAAAACTGTAGCCAAACATCGGAGGCGATGGAATGTGTAGTTAGTAGCTACAAACGCAAGGCGATGGGTTTGTTGCATGAGCGCTACTGGCTGCGCAATAGACCCATTTCTACCATTGTCATTAGCTATTGGTAACTGGTGTCCCGGAGTCCACATCCAAGTAGTCGGCAGTTGTCGACCCGCCTCGTTTTACTGGTTAATGTTCGTTGCCAGGTCATACACTGTCCATCTTTCCGTCGATCCCACCCAACACAAGGGTAGGTGAAAGTGGTTTTGTGAGGCAGACGCTCTTCTGGCGTAAGAAGTACGTTTTCTAACCAGCGTAACCAATGAAGCGTAATTTATCCATCGTGAGGAAGTTCCTTCTTCCTTCCCTCCCCCATCCACCTTTATTCTTTTCTTTACAATAAGGCTTTCAAATAAGTCATGGTTGTACGGCATTGAAGCATCGGTGTTGAACACTGATGTCATCCTGTCGATGATGATGATGAGTCCACATCGTCTCCCTGTTCACAGGGTCAAAAGTTTTCGTAGAGCACTTGAACAGAGAGTTTATTAGTGCACAGGTGATGATAGCCATAATACAAATCAGAAGGTATGTGGACTAATAAAAGTTATTAACTGTGATTGACAGTTGTTTACAGGAGCGATTTGTAGCATGTATAAAATAAAGAGCAATATAAAATGTGGTGCAAGTCAACAGGGAGCTTATCGTATGTGAGAGTCCCTTGATAAAAGTTCGGACAGCGGGAACGTGTTTCCTCCGCAGTTTGGCTGCACTGCAATACTGTGCATGGTGTGACATCATCAAGCTTTATTTAGGTCTCGGGTTCTAGATTATAATAACCCCTTGAGGCCCTAGTTAAGATATTACTCATCCACTTTGGAAGTTCACTCATCAGAACAGATAACTTTTATTTTAGTTTACTCGTAAGCTCTCTCCTAAAATAAATCAACATTGGTCGATCTCTCGAAGGGGTCTCTCTGAAGGACGACAACTGTTTTACGAGAAATTTAGCAACGAACGTCCTAGACTATCACTCAGAATTAACCATATTTTCTCATCAACTTAGAACACCTCGTTTTCGAGCCCTTACTCTCATGCTAGGGTGCTAATCAGTTAACAGACTTACGTATGTCTCTTAAGGGGTGAACTTTACCAAATATCCTCAAAGGGCGGTTTGCTTTGAGGTTTTTCGTGGAAGCCAGAATCCTCGTTCAGAATAGGATGTTCATGTGTACATCATAGAAATTACCGCGTTTCGTGAAGTAAAATCTAGCGGCCCAGTTATCTCTTCCAAGATGCAGTATACCCCTTCTAGAGAGGCCGTCACAAGGAGAAGCGAACCCTAAGAGCTGATAGCTTTCGGTTGGTCCCGTAAATCCTATCTTAATAACAGGCTCTCCAAGGTTGGAACAGTTTAGAGAAGAAACTTATTTCAGTCGGTTTTCCGAAGCGTCCTCGCCAGGGGGGATGATCGTACACTTGCCTATTCCAAAGAGGTTAGTGTCTTAGGATGATTGATTCGGTCCTTTCAAGTGGTTTGATGGGCGAAAATTGTGCCAGGCTTCTTCTACTTGGTGAAGGATCAACCGCCAGTGACCACCTTTGAACGATGTTCTCTATGGAGGTGGAATTACAGCAGTTGCATTATGTGGGGCCCCCAGTCACTGAGGCAATAGTCGTTTCTTACCACTGGTCAGGTGCCTAATTGATATCATACTGGGAGGTTTTGTCTATAAAATGTTCATCATGCTGTCTGTCATGAAAGAAGTTCGCGCCACGAGGGCGTTTAGAACGCCCTTTGTTAGTAGTAGGAAGGGATCTCTCAGATATCAGGTTGATGGCGAGTCTCACTGGGCCGGAATAAGATGGTCCTGGTTAAGCTGGAGACTGCTGTTCAACCGTAGCTGTCATAAGCTGGCATCAGTCAGTTCCCATGTGGTAACATGAACACTGGTGGGCCGCTGAAGCGTTACGGCAGTGAACCATCGGTGTTGAACACTGATGTCATGCTGTCGGGTGAACCATCGTGTTGAACACTGATGTCATGCTGTCGGTGATGATGATGGTCGTGATGATGCTGAAGCGTTAGAGTTTTCTGAAAATGGAATTGTTTTCTGCACAGATATCTGCGTGTTGCAATCCACTCGGTGTGCACATTGTAGCTCGGTAACGAAGGAGCTTAGAGAAACTCGGGCTGTTGTTGGTGTCAACCGTCTTCAGGACTACCACATCAGCTTCCCTATGTTTGCATGGAGGCGTGTGACCTGATGCAAATACACTTTTCGCCGATGTCCAGAATATCCAAGTGAGTGGTTGAAGATTCGGAAGCATGAAATGTGTTAACTGAGCTAGGACTTTGTCCCTTTACGTCTCAATTTCAAGGCTTTGTTATTTCCAACTTGAATTTAGAAAGCATGTCAATCAGCTGTAAGGGAACTCAATGGATCTTGACTTTAATACTTCATGTATCTGGTGACTCATTCGCTGGTCGATCAGTTCCACTGTTCATCTCCGGTGCGCTGATGTGGTTTCGCTTACCTACTGTTTACCTCGTTGTAGCTCATTCAAGAGAACGAACAAGGTTTCCTAGAGTTTCTTAATGCACCAATCAGCCAGGATGCAGGTGAAACTGAGGGTATGGAGAGCTCGGAAACCACTACTCCAGGGAACGTGCGCCAAGGTGAACCGCGACAAGTCATCCTTACAATGACCCAAGAAGAACGAGCAGCTATCGAGCGACTACAAGCTCTAGGATTTCCCGAGGAGCTGGTTATACAGGTGAGTAGGTAGTTTTTCCTTTATGCTTCTTCTTGGCTTATTCCTTCGGTTCGCCCTTCTGACTGTCAAAGCGCCATAATATCTCACGACTCCAAGTTTTGCACCCTGGTGAGCAATATCCAGCCACTGAACGGTCTTCTCCATAAACTTGCCTAGTTGAACCTAATGGTGATCGAGTAATCGGCGAGTGTGCGGTGTCCCCCTCTGAAGCACGACCGTAGTGAATATAGGTTTCAGCTGTTCTAGGGAGGATGGTCTTTAATATGGGTGCATATGGTAATGTCCATATTCCAACGTCCAAGTGTTTTTATCACTTCCTCACTCATACACACGCACACACACGAACGCATGCTTACCCAGCCAGGCGTATACATCCAAGCGACTCACGTTCCAGACTTACTGTTTCTCATTGGCTAATTGTCGCTTGATGTCACTGGCTTTGACTAACCATGTCAAATAATTACTAAATTTGTCCCTGCTTCTACACGGTCGTTATTCGTATTAAGGCTAGGGGCCGGTTGAACTACATATTGTCCGTTAACCACTTCCCAACCACAGGTCAATTACTTTATCAGTAACGGTTATATTGATGTTTTTAATCAGATAAACGGTGGAAACTTAGGAGATTGGTAAATCACGCCAAACTTCAGTGATGTGGTAGCAACCTGTATTTTTAATCCACTGAGACGGGATGCACTCATCCTGTGTTTCTGTTTCTCTTCACCGTTACTGTAGACCTCCTGATGCAACGTTATATGCATCTATCTCTTTTCAGAGACTCTTCAGCACATGTCAGTCCGTGGGCCTCTCGGGTTGTAGCAACGTTCAAGCTTCTTTATTCCTTCAGTTCAACACCCAATAAACATTGATGTTTGCTTTCAGTGAGGCTAGAAAGATGCATTCGTTGAAATCTACCGGAATTTCAACACACTCAAAGGCTAACTAAACTGCTGTTCAGTTTTCTTCAAGTTGGTGCATCAAATACTGAAATCCTTACGGAAACCCTGTTTGGGGTGTATCATAGTTTGGGATCAGTGAACTACACTTTCCTTCCTCTAGACCTACTGTTTCAATTCTTCAAATATCTGGTCATCATCAGCTCGTTGCTGTTGCTGAAATCTGTAAAAACAGCCGAGTCTTCATTTGACCCATTCGCTTGCCAAGCAGTTAGAAAGTTTTCACGCAGTTCCCCTGGTCACTTTTTTGCTCGTCTTAAAATCTGGGAACGATTTCTCCTCAAACCACCAAAATCTGTAAACCGAGTCTTCATTTGACCCATTCGCTTGCCAAGCAGTTAGAAAGTTTTCACGCAGTTCCCCTGGTCACTTTTTTGCTCGTCTCGTCTTCTGGGAACGATTTCTCCTCAAACCACCAATGACATGGATCTTCCCTACATATACCTGCCGTCGTGGTTCCTGGTCACTTCCAGAACAGGAAACCGTTACTAACGTC